AGGCTGGTTTCGAACTCCTGAGCTCAAACAATCCGCCTGCCTCGGCCTCCCAGAGAGCTAGGATTACAGGCGTGAGCCACCGCGCCCGGCCAGAAGTTTCTTTTTTTTAATAGCTATAGAGAAAAGAGCTGGTGGTCAAATTATTTTCAACAAGTGCCAAGACCATTCAATTGAAAAAGGAGTCAACAAATAGTATTAGGAAAATTGGATATTCACATGCAAAAGAATGAAGTTCGACCCTAACTTACACAATAGTCAAAAATTAACTCAAAATGGATCAAAGAACTAAACATAAGTACTAAAACTATAAAACCATTAGAAGAAAACAGAGAGAGAAAGTTTCGAAACATTGGATTTGGTGATGATTTCTTGGATATGATACCAGAAGCAGAGGCAACAATAGCAGAAAATAGATAAATTGGAATATATCAAAATTCAAAACTTTTGTCCATCAAAGGACATAAGAAACAGAGTGAAAAGGCAACCTATAGAATGGGAAAAAATATGTACAAATCATCGATCTTATGCAGAGTCAAAATCTAGACTATATAAAGAACTCCTACAACACAACAAAAAAACTCCAATCAACCTGATTAAAAAATAGACAAAGGACTTGAATAGACATTTCTCCAAAGAAGATATGCAAATGACAATACCCATATGAAAAGATGCTCAACATCACTAATCATTAGGGAAATGCAAATCAAATTTGAGATACAATGAGATACCACTTCACACTCATCACGATAGCTATTATCCAACAAAGCAAAATGTTGTCGAGGATGTGGACAAACTGGAATACTTGGTGCACTGTTGGTAGGAATGAAAAATAATGCTGCCATTTTGGAAAACAGTATGGCAGTTCCTCAAAAAAAATTATAAACAGAATTACCACACGATCTAGCAATTCCACTTCTGGGGATATAGCCAAAGGAATTAAAAGCAGGGACTCAAAGAAATATTCATATACCCATGTTCATAGCAGCAGCAACCCAAGTGTCCCATCAACAGATAAATGGATAAACAAAATGCAGTATATACACATACGATATTGGAATATGACTTATCCTTAAAAAGGAAGGAAATTCTGGCACATGCTACAACAGGATGAACCTTGAAGACATCGTGCTAAGTGAAATAAGCCAGTCACAAAAGGGCAAGTATTGTATCATTCCATTTGTATGAGGTACCTAGAATAGGCAAATTTATAGATACAAAACTAGAATGGTGATTGTCAAGGGCCAGGAGGAGGGCGATATGGAGAGTTATTACTTAATGGGTATGATGTTTCAGTTTGGGAAGATGAAAAATGTTCTGAAGATGGATGGTGGTGATATGTGTACAATAGTGTGAATGCACTTAATGTAACTGAACTGTACACTTCAAATGGTTAATTTTATTATGTATTTTTTTTACCACAATAAAGTTGGTTTCATACACCAACAGAGAAATATTTTTCAATTTTTTGTTCATGAACTAAACTAGCCCTACCAGGCTTCTTGGAAATGTGAACCATGAGGATTCTTTTGGGTTATTTCCTACAATATCAGCAAATCTGATTTAGAACTTCTTAACCTGATACTTTGGGGATACCAAGTGCATATTTTCACTGAAGAGCACTAAAATTTCTTTTCCTTCTTTAGTTTCTATTCATACTAGCCCAGTAGCACATGAAAAAAAAAGTTATTTTATGACAAAACATTTCAATTGCTGTTTAAATCAAGGTACTAGAGAAGAAAGCATTATGAAGCGTTCACACTACAAAAAGTTAACATAATCATATTAATGAGCAAATAAATGGAACACAACTCTCAGACTAAATATCAACATCTAACCACCCTCCTGTGATGAGCTACACAAACTATCATAGCTCATTTTTTGTTACCTACTTTCTTTACATTTCATTGCTCATTATTTAAGTATGAAATTGTCCAGGAATTTTTAAAAATCTAAAGAAATTTTATTGTCTAATATTTCAGCCACTTATGTCTACATGAATCATGTTGTAAAACTCAGTCAACACTTTGTGGAATCCTTAAAATGATCTAAAGCCCTCAAATAAAAAGAAAGAAAATTCAAAAGGTCAACTCAAGGAATCTTTATAAAATAGATATTATCCATAAACCATAGCATTAAAAATTAGTGATTAAAAAGATTCAATTCTGTTACTTCTCTGTACCTGTTGTGCAAAACAGAACTGCAATTTTCCTACATATGAAGTTTTTTCTGATTAAGAGACATATTACACAGCAAAGTACTTATCATTTAACACATATACAAATAATATAATCGTACCTGAGCAAAAAGGTAAGACATGACAAAGTCATCAAGGAGAGGAGCTTCAGCACCTCGAGATATCCCATGCCGATAGGTTCTGTTGCTGCCGCTGCAGTACCAGTAAGGAAAGTAAAATCTACAAGACAATTTCATTTGGTCAGCCTCCAAATAGTTCAAGTATAAACATACTGTGTATATACGACTACTTCCAGCATACTGGAAGGTATTATCCCATAATCAGAAAACTCAGCTATCAGTGTTACATACAAGTTGGAGACAAAAGGATGTCTGGATAAGACCACGAACTCCTATCTACTGCCCAGCTGTAAGCTATCATTAATCTTTCTGTTCCCATAAATTTGCCTATTCTGAACATTTTATCAATTGAGCCATAGAATATGTGGCCTGTCTACCTTCTTTCACTTAGCATAATGTTTTCAAGGTTCATCTATATTACGGCACGTATTATTACTTCATTCCTTTTTATTGCCAAATTAACATTTCATTTTACGGATATATCACATTTTGCTTATCCATCATTTGATAGACATATGGGTTGTTTCTATTTTTTTGCTATTGTGAATAATGCTGGTATGAAGAGTCATGTACAAGTTTTTGTGGATGTATGTTTTCATTTCTCTGCATATATACCTAGAAGTAGAATTGCTGCATCATATACTAACTCAATGTTTATCTTTTTGAAAATGGCCCAACTGTTTTCCAAAGTGGCTGCACAATTTTACATTTCTAACAGTAATGTATGAACATCCCAACTAGTCCAAATCCTCTTTAACATTTGTTTTTCTTTGTCTTTTTGATTTTTGCCATCCTGGTAGATCAACTGTCATTCCACTGTGGTTATGATTTGCATTTCTCTAATGACTAATGATGCTGAGCATCTTTTTTTTTTTGAGACAG